TAGCCGGAAGATCCTGAAACGATCTTGTGGACACGGACGAACACACACACACACACACGATGTCACTAGTCTGTCTCGGTCTGTCTGTCTCAGTCTGTCCGTTGGCCTGTATGTCTCAGTCTGTCAGTCTGTCTGTCTGTCTGGGTGGGGCAGGACACAAGGACCAACACACCCACGATGTCAATAATCAGTCTCCCTCAGGCTGCGTAACCGACATCGCGAACGCTGAGCTCCGAAACCATACGGGCAATCATACACACACACACGATGTCAATTTTTGTATGAACGTTTCAAAAAACAAAAGCACATCTAGAGCCGAAAATGGCGCCCCCGCCCAAGCTAAACCTTTGGCAACCTGTTGTTTCTGCGAAAAGATCAAATATTGAAAACGAGCACTTGTCACACGGATGCACTCTTCTTAGCTTACTTCGATGAGGTTACAGGTTGGTGCAAGTAGTAAGGTCATAAGTCAGTATAAGTAAGTTATCTATGTAAGTTGTACTGTAAGTTGTAACTAACTGTAGTTGTAACTAACTGTTCTGGCCTAAGTAAGAAGATCCGTGGTAGTAGTCCAAAGTGCCTTTCAGCCAGGTGAGCACTCTGTCTCGTGTGCCAGACAAAGGATGTAGAGCTCGAAGAAAGTGGACAAACAAGACAGCGTGAACTGGATCCTGTGTCCACTGTTCCCACTGTGACAGGCACCGCAACAAGTTCCAGGGAGCCCGTGTCCAGGGCGAAGTTGACTTCGCACCGGTAGTGGATGCTGAAGTCCTCCTCCGCCTGCAGCGCCGCAATGCCTTCCCAAGTTCGACCCACCGACTTTTTGACAGGTGAAAGATCAGCGCATACACGAGCAGCATCTGTCGCACAAGGCAATCTAATTCCCGCAACAAAGTCTGCCAACACAACATTTCAGCAGCAAAGCAAAGGCAACTTCTGAAGAAGTGTTGAAGGCAACTTTGGTGATAGCCGCCAAGTATACTCCAACTAAAATGGCTCGGATGACCAGCATCTTCGTCTGAGATTTGTTCGGCTCAGCTGGGATATTCTTCCAGGATGCTCCATCATGGTGGTGGAAGTGGTGGTGGTGGTGGTGGTGGTCGTAGTAGTAGTAGTCGTCGTCGTCGTAGTAGTAGTAGTAGCAGTAGCAGTAGTAGTAGTAGTCGTCGTCGTCGTAGTATAGTAGTAGTAGTAGTAGTAGTAGTAGTAGTAGTAGTAGTA